TCTCGGTATGTATATATAAATTTCTTCATGAACATGCTGATGTTTCAGTAAGAAAAGGATCGGCGGTCCTTTTACTCCAAGGATCTTTGTGAAACCCTAATGGAAATGTATTGAACCTAGATAAGCGCCTACCCCTGCTTGTATATCGAAAGTACTCCTTGTTAACATGCATTCATAGTTTGATGACTAAGCTTGAATTGGTCAACTTTTCCACACAATAAACCACATTTAGGACTTTTACGGGGGATAAGAATAAAGCAGCACTAGCGAATATCTTTAGCCCCTTATTTATTGCACGTGAAAAGATTGCTGTAAAATACTTCGGTCCTCTATAATGATTTCCAAATTTCAACTCTTTTAAACCTAGTTTAACATCCTAATAGGACTAACTACCGTTTCAATACTAATCCAATTCACTATATACTCCTGTCTTTCTAAAGCGTGTAGATCTGGTAACATGGCAATTGTATCAATGTTGATATTTTGTGGAGCAGATTTGAGGTCCCAAGACTCCGACAATTCTCTCCCTCTTCATGCCGCTGCTCAGTTTGGTAAGGATGACCATCATCATATGTGATCGCCAAGTTCGCACACAATGCAGTAAAATACCTTTTTAATAGGTGGTCCAAATATGTGCAGTCTTTTATTGCGTTTCTTTCCTGAGGCTGTTGAATATCAGAATGCGAATAAGAATACCCCACTGCACGTCGCCTGTGGCAGTGGCAACATGACAAATGCATTTGGCATTCTAAGAGCCACACTTTGTCCACCTTCAACACTCTTCAAAATTACGGATGCAGGTGTCCTATGCTCAGTACCGGTAAAAAGAGATTTTTGTGTGACTATAAGAAATGAAGATGGTCAAACTCCCGAACATGTGGCGGGTAGACTCGGCTATTATGAACTGGCAGCTCTGATTAAAAATGAGTTGTATAAATCTAGAAACGCCCAACACATCTCAACTCCACCAAGCCGAATTTTCTTACTTTTGTGAGTAAGCTCATTTACAGCATTCTGATTATTTACCATTGATTAAGAGGCCTACCAGATTAATGGTATTATATATTTTCGATCCTGAGACACAAATAAGCATCTTAGTTGACCGAATCTTGGTGTTTCTATGAAACAATGCGACTTTTGATGAACTACACACCAACTACTTAAGTAGCACAAAACCACGAGTTTTAACTACTGAATCGACACAATTGCTGTCATTTGGATACTTCAACTATAAAAGATAAGATCGATTATTCATAATCAGAAATGCGGAAAATATTGTTCAATATCTAAAATTAACTGTTGGTGTCCAAGGTACATCCTTTGCGGTCCCCCTGGTCGACGACGGACCATGCACTTCTGGATGTTGGCGATTTCTTTTGGATGGCTTTACCCCTACTTATATTTGCGGGTAAGCCGCCTTGGCCTTATTCTTCATATTGTCCAAGGGTACATTTCTGGTAAAAATGAAGTACTCAACTGCATTCCGTTGCACTAGACCTTACGAGTGGCTGCTGTAGTGAATTTAAGTGTGTACTCTTTGTTAGAATTCATTCGAGATAACCATTTATTTTAATGTTTAACAACATGTTCGCGTTTTAGATCCATCGGAGTGAAGTTGCCTTGTCAGCATCAGAATTAGTAATCTTTATTTGTATGAATGTATTTCTGTGGGTGTGTTACTTCACGGAAGCGTACAAAAATCCCGGATTTCTTCCCACCAACACGTTGGAATATGAGGAGGAAATGCAGGAGGCGAGCAAATGTGCCCACTATTTATCTGTGCTCGTTACCCAAAGAATAGCACTGATTGATTTGATTTTCGGTTCAACTTTAATACTCTGTGAACAATATTAGGCAGACATTGAGCTTTGACCAAATTTCGGTTTAATTATCTGGCCAATTTTCGAACCGGCAATCAAATGAGCGAAGTCGGACTTTTTGAGTGGGTTTCTATGCCTTCACTAATTTCACTAATGCAGACTACCCTAATCTTCCCTTGTCTTCCTAGTAAGTAGGTTCTGACTTAACTTAAAAATTGCCTAATAATTTTAGCTCTTAATTGAATGTAGAAGACTTCAAAAGCGCACTGGTCCACTGTCTTTGGAGGTAGAAACAACTCAAACTGAGTTGCTACCGCTGCAGGTGCAGGCTCTTCGTCGCTCGATTCGGGTTATCAAGAGGCGCTTGAGCAGCCTCTGCCACACTTGTGGCTGTATCAAGCCAATTAGGACAAAACACTGCAGCCTATGCAACCGCTGTGTGAGAGTAATGGACCACCACTGTCCTGTGACAGACAATTGCGTTGGACAGGCCAATCGGCAAGCCTTGAATTAAATACGTGGGCCGATTTGCAACTCTAAACTCTAATCATTTGCATTCTTATTTTAGAGTGTGGTTCCTCCTGACCAGTGTTATGGTCTCTATCGTGAGTAGCTGGATTGGATGTCTGTCAATAAGGTATTGGCAACAGGTTGAGTCCACCAGCTTGTATGAGATAATTACACTTGTGCTTCTCTCCATCGGATGGATGTTTGGTCTCAATGCATGCTTTATGACGGTAGGCTGAGTCTAAATAATTAACTATCTTTAATACTAACTATGCTCATATCATAGATTTTTAGAAACTAATTGTTTTGATCTAATTTGAATTCGAATTTAAAGTGGAAGAATTATTCTTGATTTGGCGCTTTTTTTCCTGAATTCTAAAGATAAGCTCTGCTATTTTCAACATGACGACAAATGAGATGGCAAACTGGCGAAGATATGAGTACTTTGGCACAGCAAAAACGGGATTTAAAAATCCCTTTAGTCAGGGCTGTTGGAACAATGTGGTGGAGTTCTTCTGTCCTCGCTACTACGAAACTGAACGTGAGCTCTACAAGCACCGTGTAACGGATGGAGGGAGATACCCGTTTGTTGTTTAGTAGATTAACGTGCGCTGTCTCATGTCCAATGCATGGGAATAATTTTTCTCTC